ACATTTATTATCGTGCAAATGATAGATTTTTGCAAGCTTGACTGGTGTCATGTACCACCTGTATATCATTTTCATAATATTCTCTCTTAAGGCATTACATGCCGTGAACTTCATACCTGTGGTCCATAACTGTTCCCAGTCAGCCATCATTATGTTATGTCCAACACCTTGTGCCCATTTAATCATAGCAGATTTCACCGTTTCATCCTGTGTATTCCATTTCAACAGCAAGTTATACATCTTTGACAAAATCTTAGTTTTGGGTTCTAACAGTTCTGTTTCTAATTTTGATTTTTTCCACCTGGAAGCCAATTTTCTTGTCCAAATTGTATGCCTCCATTATCTGATAATAATGAAGCCAGTCTCGCACTTTGTTTTTTAATTTCTCAAAACTCTGCAATTTTAGTCTGTCTCCCTCTTGTTCCAAAATTTCCCAATATTTCGGCCATTTGACCTCCATATTGAGCTTTTTCTGAGCCTTCGCTTCCATCGGTGACAGCCACCTTGGGGTTTTATTTTCCAATAGGTCCTTATATCTTATCCAAACATTAAATAATGCTTTCCTGACAATATGGTTTTTAAATGCTTTATGCAATTTTAGCTTGCATTTTAGCTGCAATTTTGCCTATGCACATTCAAGCAAAAATTTGCACAACTCTCCTATTAATGTGGAATTTGTTGAAAGATGCCTGTGCATCAGAGGCAAAGCTGCAAGAATCACTCAAAACAACTCCCTGTATGAGCACCCTGGGGCAAACCATCACTGGATCTGCCACCATTGGTCAGAGAGCATGTCCCAAGTGTTAAGATGCAAGACTCAGGCTTTTCTGATATTCGATTACAAGTTTCAACAAAGTGTTAAAAAAATTGTTGGCATATTATAAGAGCTGTCCATCATACCAGCACATCACATCGGTTAAAAAAAAAACAACCATTCTGTTTATTTATAAAGCCCACCACCCACTTGCCCAGGCTATGTGACCTACAGGTTGGGAAACCCTGCTTTAAACCTCAGAGAAGGAAGAATACAGAGTCAGGAACGGTGTACTTCCCCTTTTTCTTCCCTTCCCCCAAATATCATTATTTTAGATTTCTAGCCTGTCTCTCAGGGTGAAAGAGAAACCTGGTGAAGAGGGAATATTCAGGGCAAAATAACAGAATCTTCAAATACTAGCTGGTGAACTTACTAATTGCTGGAGGCCTACAAGTTAGGATACAAGGATTCCATTCTCTGTGCATAATGCAAATACTGATCCAGAGAAAAAGGCTATTTCGGGAAGGTCAGCAGAGTATGTCCTGACTGGGTGAAAAGGAAACAAAGGCAGAAAAAGATAGCCCACCATGCCTGCCCCCATCGCAAGGTTATACAGATCTTTCAGCTATTCATTCCAGCACCAAATAAAGCCATGCTGCTCACTTGACGTTTTTACTGCGGCGGCTTTTTAAAACCTCAGCTAAGAATATAATCAAACGAATCATCTAAATTGGACAGAAATGAAAAGGCGAAGTAATACTAATGGCTTTGCAAGCCGTACCCAGGGAAAACAGGCAGGAGTTCATTGCTCTGGAGAACTTAATGGCTGAAGATTGGCAGTGAGAGAGGCTGGCTGGGTTTGACTGGGTTATTTGAAAAACAAAGATTCCCAAGAAGAGAAAACTTAATCCAAACTGCCCAAGTTAGAGAGGCATGGTCATAAGAACTCTGGGCTCTAATATAGGGTATTTTGAACACTTTTATATGCTTCATCCTGGTAATTCTCACAACAGATAGCAGTGTGAATCAGGTCAACCTTAGTATTCCCACACTTTAAAGGAGGGTCTCAGAAGAGAGGTGGTGGCTTGCTTCAGGTCTGTCTAGTAATTATTATTATTATTATTATTATTATTATTATTATTATTATTTATACCCTGCCCAGCTGGCTGTGTTTCCCCAGCCACTCTGGGCGGCTTCCAACAAAATATTAAAATACAATAGTCCGTCAAATATTAAAAGCTTCCCTAAACAGGGCTGCCTTCAGATGTCTTCTAAAAGTCTGGAAGTTGTTTTTCTCTTTGACATCTGGTGGGAGGGTGTTCCACAGGGCGGGTGCCACTACCAAGAAGGCCCTCTGCCTGGTTCCCTGTAACCTGGCTTCTTGTAGCGAGGGAACCGCCAGAGGGCCCTCGGCGCTGGACCTCAATGTCCAGGCAGAACGGTGGGGGTGGAGACGCTCCTTCAGATATACAGGACCAAGGCCGTTTAGGGCTTTAAAGGTCAGCACCAACACTTCGAATTGTGCTCGGAAACGTACTGTAATCCTGGTCCGATAAATCAGAACAGGGCCAAGGAATTCATGACTCAGGAGATCGGAACCAGATTCTTCCTGGCTCTTGGCGACTTACACTGAACTACATAAGCTTTCAAGTTACTGAGGTAGGGAGGTGGGACACTTCTACCCATTTATGGAGCAGTTGATGAAAGGAAAACCGTTCTTATTTTAGCTCCAAGGAAAAAGCAAGCAAGCAAGAACAAGAAGTCAAATTTCTTAAGGACATTCCCCACCAGTATAGAGAATTTTCACACATCACACACTAAAAAGGCCCTATTTGAGTGTATGAATGAATGTTGTGAGATGATGGTCCCAACTGGGCCTTGGAAGCAAGATAAAAACCAAAACAGAACAAAGGTCAGAAAGCAGCCTTTCAAGTCAAATACATGTTCCAGCCAATGCACATTTTCCATTTGGCAAAGAGATAGTTATGTGAAAATAGTGCTTTTAGTGTTATGTGTGAAAAGCATCCCGTGAATTTACTCCAGGTCCATTTTCCAACTAGGAACTCTCCTACTCGCAATGCCAACTGTTATACTGCAAAGGTCATCTCAGAACTGCTTCTCACGTTAGCACTCTGGCAACATAACTTACTTTGATAATTGGAATAATTTCATATTGGAATTACCATGCAAAGTATGTGCAGGCTGTTGCATGGGCCATAATCTCAAAACCACAGCAGAATATGCATGGGAAATCAAAAAGTGTGATTGCACAAGCAACACAGCTGAGAATTTTTTTTGGGGGGTGGGTATTATTGGGTTGTGGTTTTGATTTTGATTTTATATATATATATATATTGTCATTTCTATGTTGATCTTTTCTGTGAAACGCCCAGGGGTATAGGGCGGTATACGAAATTCAATAAATAAATAATAAAAATAAAATAATTCATTTTGCACTTTTCAAAAGCTGCGCTCATATTTAACCACCATCAATGAAAATTTGCTCTGTACAAAGCTACATACTATTTGCGTATCACTCAGAAGACATCAGCTGAAAGCCCCACTTAGAAGCCAATTCTAGAGTTTTAACACGGGCAGGAATTATGTGAAATGGGAAAGGAGAATCTTCCTTGCTAGCCAACAAAACATAGCAGGGGGTGTGAACTAGCGTTTAAGGCATGGGTAAACAAACTAAGGCCCGGGGGCCAGATTCAGCCCAATCACCTTCTGAATCCGGCCTGCAGACGGTCCGGGAATCAGCGTGTTTTTACATGAATGTGTCCTTTTATTTAAAACGCATCTCTGGATTATTTGTGGAGCATAGGAATTTGTTCAATTTTTTTTTTTTTCAAAATATAGTCCGGCCCCCCACAAGGTCTGAGGGGCAATCGACCGGCCCCCTGCTGAAAAAGTTTGCTTAAACACAATAGAATCCTTCTGCTAAAAATGGTACCTGCCACCCCTGGTTTTCAGTAAGCACTGCTGGTTTTTTGTGTGTGTGTTTTTAAAGTACTTCCTAAGCAGAATTTATAAACAAGGGTTTAAAAACAGTTAATCTAACAAATGAACTTGCTCGGTTTTGGGGGCCCATGCGCCCATTTGGAAATCTGTCATTGGCATCTCAAAATACCGATTAACAAGAGGAAACTGGGGGTTTTCAGCACCCCACCCCCACCCCGACACCAACACTATTCCAAACAGGAAATACATTTACGCATATTATAAACCAAATGAAACTCAAGTCATGTTCCAGCCAAACATCAGGAAAAACTTTCTGGCGGTAAGAGCTGTTTGACAGTGAAACTGTCTCCCTTGGGAGGTTGTGGACTCTCCTTCCTTGGAGGTTTTTAAGCAGAGGTTGGATGGCCATCTGTCACGGATGCTTTAGTTGAGATTCCTGCATTGCAGGGGGTTGGACTAGATGACCCTCAGGTTCCTTTCCAACTCTGCCATCCTTTGATTCAAATGTACAAAAACAGGCTACCCCCTCAGAACAAGCCATTGATTAAAGCCTATTAAAAAAAAATTAAAAAATTGGGAGGGGCAGGGAATCTTGGTTGGAGCAAAAAGAGATGACTAATGGCCCTACAGGCAACAAAGCCAAACTTTGAGTGGTACCTTTTCATGGGGGGGGGAGGATTCCTCCTGCCCCCCCAACCGCTTTGGAGCAGGAAGGTAGACTCAACCATTTCAGAGTGGGTGCAACATTGCCAATCACGGTGGTCCTAAGGTATATTTCTAAAACTACAGGAAATCTGCATATTATGAGCACCTGGGTGGAGCACTGGCAACTGTGTGGGTCTCAAGAGAGTGCCATTCCTAATAAAATAATGCCGGTAAATTCTGTACAAGAAGTAAAGAGGAATTCAAGAAAGCCAAGAAATGCCATGCAGGTCTGATAGCAGAAAGAGGAAGCAATTGAAGCATGTTCTATTGCTAGCTTGCACTCTAAAGTGCAGAGTCTTGTAAATCATCATTATTTGAAAACCACTTGCTGTTCACCCACAGAAAGACAAAGTCATAACCACATCCTCTCTAGATAATTTCTGGGTACCGAGAATTATTTTGAGGACGGTGGCAAACTAAAAGCTATCCCGCCAGGACAGAAGTAACTCCATCTCTAGTCATAAATCTCACGTGACAAATCCAAGTTTCTTTGCATGGCGTGTAGAAGCACCAAAACAGGACAGGGAAGTGGGGCACACTTCATCGTTCCAGAACAATACAGGTGGTGGTGGGGAAAGAAGGTTTAGAGTTCAGTTGGTAGAGCATGAGACTCTTAAGCTCAGGGCCGTCGGTTTGATTCCCATAGTGGGCAAAATATTCCTGAACTGCAGGGGGTTGAACAAAATGACTCTTGGGTGCCCATATGAACCCCTGCAATTCTGTGAATTCTTAATTTTTTAAAAATTGCCTCCTTCAGAAACACAGTTTGAAGCCAATGCATCCAAAAACATGGTCCACAAAAACGAAAACCGAGAAAGTGCCATTTGCAAAATGTGCTATTTCTATACCCTGCCTTTGTTGCTAAAGATTCTACAAGTCGTCTTCTCGGACTCCAACTCCCATTCTTTCTGACCACTGGCCATGCTGACTGAGGGAGTCTATCAATGCCTAGAGAGATTCAGGTTCCCCATCCCTGATAAAAACAATGCACTATGGTCCTACAGCTTGCCCTCCCACCAGGAAACTCAGGGTGGAGTACGTAGAAGTTATCCCATTTTAACAATCACTACCTGAGTTTGTGGCCAAGTGGAAAACTGGACTCACACCTCTTTGGGTCAAGTGACTGTAGGACATTCCCCGACACAAAGTTGTGGTGGCAACAGATTTGATTTCACTCAAATTACGTAGGCTAAATAAAAAATTTGTTTTAACTGTCAAATGAAGGTATGTGGCTTTCTTGTCAGCATCCCTTTAAGAAAACATACATAAAATCTAACCGAGCAGAAAATTACAAGTTGACAGGAACATATGCATGACCTTGCTTCATCAAATCAGAACCTGTCAAGTCTTGTAAAAGCAAACGTTACAATTAAGGAATTGTATCTCACATTAAACTCTTCTTTTTACCTAAATAGCCAGGGAAATGGCCACAAACATCACATCAGTCCTAACTTTGTCTCCACGTTTCAGGCTCCTCAATAAAAACAGTGTCTAATTTAGGAGAAAGAAAGACCTGAAGATTTCCCACATTTTGTACTATCAGTTAATGGTTTGACAGAGGACACATACCCTCCAAGAAAATCCCTCATTAGTAACAGAGCTTCAGTATAGGGGAGAAATTGTCTTAGTCCACTGCATTACGGAGGAAGAAGAAGCAGCAGCAGCAGCAGCAGCAGCAGCAGCTTATAGGCCCCCAGAGGACGTCTAGATGTTGAACTTACAACTCCCATTACCTCTACTGGCCATGGTGTCTGTTATAGGAGGAGGAGGAAATCTAGTTGTGGCATGTAGCCTACTACTAAATTTGACAGGTGTCAATCACATGCATGCATTGCAAAGGGAAATCCTCAAACTGGTCCCATCAGCTATTATCCCAGTGACCTCCCCCTCAGTACTTTCTTTAACAAACTAGAAGGGTTATTCATTTAACCTATGATCATTTTTATGGTCTGTGCCCCTGCCCAACTGTGAAATGATTTACCCTTGGGTGGGCTTTCCTCAAATTACAACGTATTGATATTCTCAGGCATGAAGGTGAACCTTTTCTCTCCCGCAAAAGAAGAATTGTTCGCGTGTTCCCAATAAATTTGCTGAGATGAAAGTTCACTGTCCCCTTAACCTTGACTATCTGCAGGTAGCACAAGCAAACTCCCATCTCTGTTGCAAGTGAACATGAAGCAAAAAAAAGCACTGCACTGTTTGAAGGCAGCATGTTTGCGCAATGTAAGGAATATATATAAACTGTATGTAGCAAGAACCAAACAATTATTACATCAATGGCAGTTTGGCTGGAGAAACAGTTTGTAATCTGTGTGCCCCATTATGGAGCTTGTTAAAAGCTGGGAGTGTGGAAATGCATCTCTCAGTAGTTAGAGAGTCACCATTCACCACTTTCAACCAAGGATGGAGTCACTTCCCTATGGGGACCTCAATACCATTTAGATCCAGGAATCCTATGGCAGGGCATGCCTTCAGCATAGCTCCTTACTATTCCCCCCCCCCCCGAAGATCATGGCCACTGGGCCCATCACCTCCTGGCAAATAGAAGGGGAAGAAATGGAGGAGGTGAGAGATTTTACTTTCTTGGGCTCCATGATCACTGCAGATGGTGCTGGAGGAGACTCTTGAGAGTCCCATGGACTGCAAGAAGATCAAACCTATCCATTCTGAAGGAAATCAGCCCTGAGTGCTCACTGGAAGGACAGATCCTGAAGCTGAGGCTCCAATACTTTGGCCACCTCATGAGAAGAGAAGACTCCCTGGAAAAGACCCTGATGTGGGGAAAGATGGAGGGCACAAGGAGAAGGGGGCGACAGAGGACGAGATGGCTGGACAGTGTTCTCGAAGCTACCAGCATGAGTCTAACCAAACTGCGGGAGGCAGTGGAAAACAGGAGTGCCTGGCATGCTCTGGTTAATGGGGTCACAAAGAGTCGGACACAACTAAACGACTAAACAACAAAATCCAAAGCTCGCCCAGTCAGAAGGTAGGAGGACAACTCACAAGCACCAAAACCATGTCATTGCCCACAGGCTATGCATGATGTTGTTTCAAAACATTACTGGAACAGCATGGAAAGCACCCACAGAGAAATAGCCCTTACATGGCTGCAGATAACTTATGAATCAGCGTTCATCCTTGGTTGATTCAGCCCCGAGTGACCACGTAAAGAGCACCCATCAGTTGTCTTGAGTATAAAGAAGTGTTCAGAGTTTAACACAAGAATCCATTACATGAACTTGCCAGTGACATCCTATAAGGAACAGGTGGTCTGCATACTATATGGTGTTTTCTGTTGCTGTTTAAAACACCACAACTGCAATGTTTTGTTCCCTCTGATCCTGCCATTGGTCAATCTATTCTGGTAAATATGACAGGCATGTGGTAAATTAAAAACTCTTTAGTGTTCAAAGAGCAACATAGCTCCAAGAGCACTTCTTTTCTTCTAAGTTCCAAAGTGTTCTCCTCAAAGTTCTGCAAGAGAAACTTTGATCTATCTTCAATAAGACTGTCACACCAAACTAGGGAAATACTGTACTGATTCCGGATTCCAGCCCCCACAGAGGTCTATGAATGCAGGCTTCCCCTTCTCAGACGTCCATCCTAAGCACGTGGTAAGTCAATCTTGCAACCACAGGCAACAGCACAGCTTCACTGCCCTTTTAATCATGTGGAGCCCCTTCACACAATTAACACATGAAGAGGAACTATAAAATAATTCTGTTCTAGTCCTGCAGTTTATAGATGTGAATACATACATGCATGTAGAACTGGATTGGGGAAGCTTCAGCCCTCTTGATTTTGATGCACTACAAACCCTATTATCTCTGATTCTTGGCCATACTGGTTGGGGTTGATTGGAGCTGGAGCTGGAGTCCAGCAATATCTGGTCCAAACAATTCCCCACTCTGATCAAGGACATGGCAATCCAGTTCTAGATACCGTTCCCCCCCCCAAAAAAATCACTTTTCCCCCCAAACACATACGACATTTTCTCCCCATGTCCAAGTGTTCATTAAAAAGTAAATTTCTGAGATGACACAACTACACACAAATCTCAACGTTTCTCTACACAGTCCAATAGCTCTCTAAATATATATTTAGCAGGAAAAGGAACTGGTGGGGTGGGGAAGAGTTTCAATCACTGAAATGTATTCACTTACGGCACAAATGCAAATTTACACAAAGGGATGGATTCTAGAACAGGACGCATGTGCGAATAGCAAAGCCATGAACCACAAAGAGATGTCAGTCACATTCATGGCAACTTGCTCAACCTTCTTAAGTTTCATTCGTCCCCCAAAATGCATCTCAACTCATGTATACAATACATGGGCCTGTGTATAATATTTGAGCACTAGGTAAGAGGAAGGCAGGGAACCTTCTTATGAGGAAAATGAAGGTGAGCAGGGCTTTTTCTCCAATTCCAACAAGTGGGCGCCATTGCCATTGTAAGAGCACAAGGGAGCATCCGTGTTGAGTTCCAGCACCCCTTTTTCTAGAAAAACAGCACTGAAGGTGAGCCTAGTGTTAACCACTGACATACAATCAAGAGGTATGTAAAATTATGAAACAAAGATGAAATAAATATATCTCAAAGCAAGTAAAATAATAAAATAATTAATGAAGAGGAACAACAAGCAAGCAACCATCCTCATCCAAAGTCAACGGCCTCAAGTTATTGGGGCTACCACATTTAGGGATCCCAGTGCGGTTCAACAACAGGGCAAGAAGTGGTTCCTGCGGCCTTCCCTAAAGGTGGGCAGAAAGAGAGATTTAGAGGGCACTGGGGTATCTTGCCTTGTAAGGTAAAGGTAAAGGGACCCTTGACCATTAGGTCCAGTCGTGGCTGACTCTGGGGTTGTGGCGCTCATCTCGCTTTATTGGCCGAGGGAGCCGGCGTACAGCTTCCGGGTCATGTGGTCAGCATGACTAAGCCGCTTCTGGCAAACCAGAGCAGCACACGGAAACGCCGTTTACCTTCCCGCCGGAGTGGTACCTGTTTATCTACTTGCACTTTGACGTGCTTTCAAACTGTTAGGTTGGCAGGAGCAGGGACTGAGCAACGGGAGCTCACCCCATCGCGGAGATTCGAACCGCCAACCTTCTGATCGGCAAGTCCTAGGCTCTGTGGTTTAACCCACAGCGCCACCCGCGTCCCTGTCTTGCCTTGTACTAGCCGACAAATTGCTGAATGAGTTCCCATCTCTCTCGGGAATGTGTTAGGTGGCTGCAGATGACTCATTATTGTCGTGCACTTCCTATGAACTCCCAGAACCCCTTATAACTTCCAGGCCCTGTATAAAAAGGTCAACAGTGTCTCAATACTGTAACAGGAATGGAGAGTTTCCAAGTAGCTGAATGCACACTGTAGTAAGTTACCGCTGTCTGTATTGATTCTCTATTCACCCATCACAAAAGAAAAAACTCATGGAGCAGGAGACTGAACAGAATTACTAGACAGACTCCCTTTTCTCCTCCTCTTTCTGCTTACAACTTAGACACACACCAACTTAGACACCCAAATCCAACAAACCACAAACATTTCGATACTATCAAGTCATTTGTCTTAAAATGTCAAGTCGCACGGTCACCACACAATCCAACAGAATTTGTGGGAAGCACAAGCAAATTGGCTTGCATGGTTTTGCC